ATTTTCTGGACAACATATGCCCAAATGATTACATTCTCAGTTGAGCAAGCTTCAACCATGAGACGTACCATTGGAAACTTCAAGATCCCAGCAGGTTCTCTCACAGTGTTTTTCGTCGCCGCAATTCTCATAACTCTGGCTGTCTACGACCGTGCCATCATGCCTTTTTGGAAAAAATGGAAAGGAAAACCAGGTGACCTAAAATGCATATATTATTAAGTCGGAGTATTTTTTTGTCGTTTTAGCTAATTTTTCTTTATAATTACATTTATTAACATTTCAGGTTTCTCTAGCCTACAAAGAATAGCTATTGGATTGGTCTTATCAACCGCTGGAATGGCAGCTGCAGCTCTAGTTGAGCAAAAGCGTCTATCCGTTGCTAAAACCAGTACACAGAAAACATTGCCCATAAGTGTATTCTTACTTGTTCCACAATTCTTCCTAGTAGGATCGGGAGAAGCCTTTATATACACTGGCCAACTTGATTTCTTCATCACCCAATCACCTAAAGGGATGAAGACAATGAGCACTGGACTTTTCTTGACCACTTTGTCTCTAGGCTTCTTCGTCAGCAGTTTCTTGGTCTCAGTCGTCAAAAGGGTCACCGCAACTTCTATGGATGGAGGATGGCTGGCCGATAACATAAACCAAGGCCGGCTCGATTACTTTTATTGGCTTTTAGTCATTCTCAGTGGAGTTAACTTTGTTGTCTATGTCATATGTGCCTTGTGGTTCAAGCCAACAAAGGGTAAAGACTCGGCGGAGATGGAAAAGGGCAAGAGCTTTTCAGTTGAAGATTGCTGATTTTGTTTTGAGTTACGTGTCTTGTGTACCATATTACCATGCATGTGTCAAATTAAGTCGGATTCCCATCATGTATATCAAGCAAATGTGTTGTGCGACTTGGGTCTACCGGTCTCAAATATTGTGATGTTGTTCACTTTCTTTTTGGTATATCAACCGGGGGAAAAAATAATAATTTAATTAAGCTCACATATACAATACCTATTTTATGGGAGAATTTCATAAATACCATTTTAATTTTTAAGACTACCATTTTTCAAAACTATTATGATTAGTTGTCATTTTCAAAAATACTACTAAATAATATTGAAATTATCGCATGTTTGATCAAGAGAAGTGTAAAAAAAAAACCCAATAAAAACCCGCTTTACATGAGGCGGAGAAGAAGAAGGTTCCTAGCTAGCAAAAGATTACTCGTTGCTAGCTATTCAGGGCATCTTATGAACCAGGAAAAAAGTTACAAGAACAAGATAGAAATTAAAATATATATTTTAATGTAATTACATTCATGTGGTTGTGCTGTTAATCGTATGTTGATAAATTGTTCAAAGTGTAAAGTAGTTTTTTTGTTGTTGTAGTTAAAAGGCCTGTGTAAACTGTAAAGTTGTTTTCATAAAGAAAGATAGAAAAAGTTGTTGAGTTACGTTGAATCCTATGCCAAATTCATATGAAACGAAAATCATTTTAATAATGTTTTAAAACTGGCGATCCAATATGTACGTGATTCAAATTCTAGCTTAGAATTAGTTTTTTGATATTTCAACTTAGCGACACTCCAAAGTAAAAAATAAAATATGAACAAAGGGTATGATTTTGGTAAATGCTTTAAGTGCTCCACATAGTTTTGTTTATTTATTGTGTGGAGCTTTGTTTTCATTTTTAAAACTCATAGCCACAATTTTAGAAAATGAAATATTTTGGCTCTAGAAAGCAATTATTTCAGAACAGTAAATTAAAGGCTATAAGAATTCACTTTCTCTTCTTTCCTTATCGTTTTGTTATAGATTTTTTAGAGTTTTGTATAACTGAATTGAACCGCTTCACATAATCACATAGCACTGTTTATTTATTGATCAATAATGTATCACCAATCAAGCTTTGATTTCATTTTTAAAACTCAGAACCACAATTTTAGATTCAGAAACATTTTGGCTAGAAATCATTTTTTCAGCAAATTAAGGGCTATGAGAATTTCTTTCTCTTATTTCCTTATTGTTTTGTTATAGATTTTTTTAGAGTTTTGTACAACTGAATTGAGCCCCTTACTAAACCAAATGTTTGGTTTTCACATTTGGTTTTCAGCTTAACATCGGTTAGAAAGTAAGAACCATTCGGTAAGATTTAAAATTTCAGTTGGAAAATAGCAAATGAATTGTTTAGTCTAAACCAATATTTCCCCTTATTTATACTCTTATTTTTGTGCGACTTTGGTGTATCTTGTTTTTTTTTTCCCCTCAAAAGTTTGTGACAATTAGAGTGAGTTAATATCACTTTGATTTTCATGATTAGATCCATCAAACTTCAGTCAAACAATTTTTATTTTTGTCATCTTGTTTTCTTTTCCCCAAATCTTCCTCTAAAAAACCATTTTCAGTTTGTATCGTGTTTATGATATTACTTCATTTCTATAAGATTTATCGCATGGTTCATTTATGAAAGCTCATTGTAAACGAACAGTAGAAGAAATGCTGGTATTGGTCGCCTTGTTCGTATGGACACTATCATGAACTATTTAAGAACTCTCTGTGCGTCTGGAATAAAAGTTGTGGATGGTAAAATGGTGCGGCTTGCTTCGGCAAGCCTTGGTGAAATAGTCAATGGGGTAAAGGGTGTAGAGTTAATCAGCAGTTATATTCCAGAGGACCAAATGTAAGACTTCTTCCTCTATTGAATTTAATATTTGTTATCTCTGTCTCTTTTTTTTCTTATAGCAATGCTCCTTTCCTTTTTCTGTTTGCTCTATCTTTTTTTTTCTTTCTTATATACAGATTCGCCTATTTTTTGGTTCGAGTTGATGAACACATTAAAGATGCCTTGGCAGACGGTATGGGACAATTGACTATCCAGGGAAAAGATTGCGAGGTCAATGTTAGGATGGCAATCATGAAAGACGAGCTTATGGAGTCTGTTGAAGGATTAAATGCTACAAGAGCACTTGAAGAATACAACCAAAGAAACCCTCAAGCCAGTAAAGGGGATCGCATCAAGCCCTTTGTAGGGTTTAAGAAAATGGTTTATCTTTTCTGGTTGCTACAACATCTCTGTCTATTTTCATCGATATTCCATTTTCTCTTGTTAGATATAGTGCTTTTTAACCCTTTTCTGAATCAATTTAGATGGGTTGTTATAAAAGTTCAAGGCTTTTATTAAGAAAAGGGTGTATCATTTTTGGTTGCTACAAATGATACACCCTTTTCTTAAGGGCAAGAGCTTTTCAGTTGAAGATTGCTGACTTTGTTTTGAGTTACGTTTCTTCTGTACCATATATAACCATTCAGTGGCTTCCCATTAGGTTTCTTGTATATCAAGCAATTTGGTTGTATGACTTGGGTCTAGATTTCTACCGGTCATAAATATTGTGTTTTCACTATTATGGTGTTCACTTTTATTTTTTTTTGGTATCCATCGGAGTTGAAATATACAATACTGGCCTATTTTATGGGAGAATTTCTAGCTAGCAAAAGAATCACTGTTCCTAGCTATTCTTATGAACCAGGAAAAAAACTACAAGAACAAGATAAAAGGAAAAAATTAAAACAATGTTTTAATAGAATTAGATTCATGTGTTTGAGCCAGTGATTCTTTTGCTAAAAATGTTATAATCTAACAAGGAGGTGTCAAGTGACACGGCATAATTAGTATAAAGTTATAAATGTACATGGAATAACAAAAATGACTTTAGCAAACATTGTAAAACTAAAACTAGCCTATTAACCAACACTTCAAATATTTTCTACATTGGCCACCGGTTTGAGCTGATGATCGTATGTTGAGAAATTGCTTATTCAAAGGGTAAAGTTGTATTCGATAAAGAAAGATAAAAAAAAAATTGGTCTAGATGAATCATATACCAAATCAAATTCATATGAAACAAAATCATTTCAATAATGTTTTGGAAGATGGTGAACAACATTGATTCCCAATACGGGTTTCAAATTCTAGCTTATAATTAGTTTTGCGATATTTCAACTTAATGACACTCCAAAGTTAAACAACTAATGTATAAAAGTTCATATCAAATTAAAATTTTAATCAAACCAAAATGAAATAGTAACAACACCTACGGCCGAATTGAATTGAACCGAGCTTGCCGAACCGAAATATTTGGTTCTCGGTTTGGAAGTAAGAAGGAACAATTCGGCAAGATTTAATTTTTCAATCGGAAAACAGCAATCGATCGGTTTAGCATAAACCGATATCTCCCTGATATTTTTCATTTTCCTGTGATTTCTTATCCTCGAAAAATCTGTCGGTTTCTGTCCGTAACTGAGAGAGTGAAATCCAGCCTTCTTCGTCGTCGAGAAATCCAAGAATAAGGTTAGTGAAGTGAGATTTCGTAGGTGTTTATGCCTGAATCGGAAAATTTCAAGCTGATTTCGTAGGTTTTTTTTTAGGTTTGTAAAGTTGGGATTTCATAGGGTTTAGGTTTGTAAAGTTGGGATTTCATAGTGTGATGTTTGCTTATTGGTGTTAAAACCTTGATTGCTCTCTCTCTCTCTCATGCTCTTCTCTGATTTGTAAGATGAAAACTCTTCATATGATGTGTGTTTGAGTAGATTACTTGCGCCTGTATGCATCGAGTCTCCCCTGAGTAGATTTCTTGCGTCTATGCACGTGTACTTCGTGGTCTCTATAGTTTGCTTTTTATTTGTTTCAAGTTGTTACATGACTATCTTCTGTTGTGTCGTATGATGCACTATAATCTTACAGGTTTAGTTAGATGTTTGCGTGAAATGATGTTAAAAACACTTTTGTTTTGTTCGTTTGGAATCTGCTGGTTTTTTTAAAAGGGTGAATGTGATGTCTTGAATACGAATAACTGAAGCAAGAAAATGTGTTAGCTTCTTATAGGACAAATTTCAGGATAAGAGTGAAATTGCGATTGTGATATATGCGGTTTACTTTTTTCATCTTATTTTTCTTTTCCCCAGATCTTATTGTGTTTATGATATTGCTTAACTGCTTAGCTCTCAGTTATGCAGAAAGAGAGCTTGGATTCAGATGTCATTCTCAGTATAACTGAGTATCTCTCCAAACATGGCTATGAAAAAATAGCCAATGACCTCAAAGCAGAAGCAAAAATCAAGGCTGGTAATGCAGACAAAGATGATTGTTTTCCTCAGCCGGTCCAACCACTTCTTTCGAATCCGCTACTCACGAAATTCACTGGAACAAAATTTACTCCAGGCCCTTCTGTTCTCGCCAATCCGTTATTTCTGTTGTTACAGAATATGGACTCAAGTACCGAGAAAGATGATGTGTAAGTATCTAGAGAGAATATCTTAATAGTATATCTCCTCTTATTTCCTAACATGATTAAGATGATGTGTAAGTATCTGGAGAGAATATCTTAATAGTATATCTCCTAATATTCTGATTTCCTAACATGATTTGATTTATTTTCTTTTCTCCAGGATAAGTTTCTTCAAAGAAGGCGCCGGTGTTACTGTTAAACCTGAAGCTATAACTCTCGTAGTCAAAGGACCCGAAAAGAATACCTGCTCCTCTGTTGAATTGCCTGGGTTTGAAGGCATAGCAACAAAAGCAGGCCAGGTTAAGTTCGAATCTTGGGAGCTTACAAAGAAGGTAAGTTTATATTTATGCTTATCGTTATGCTGTGTTTATATTAATATTAACAAAATCAGGCTACTTAAATTGATTTGTTCATATATTTTAGGCAATGGGCTTGCATGGCAAGTTTATGAAAGTTCGTGGTGTTGCTATACAACGAAGGAATGATGCTGGTATGGGTCGTCATGTTTATATCAGCTTAGCTGTAAACGATCTGCGAACAGTGTGTGCTTATGGATTCAAGAAAAACGAGCATGGAGCACGTGAGGCCGTGGACAGAGAAACGATTAGAGAGATGGTCAGTGAAGAAGATGGCATTGAGATCATCAGTAGCATTTCTCCAGAGGACGCAATGTAAGTCAGACCTCTTCCTGTATTTAGTTTAATTTTTTTTAATTTGCTTGCTTAACAATGCTCCTTTTATATTTCTTCTACAGGATGGAATACTATCTGCTTCGAATGTCTGAAATCGTTGCATTCAAATTCAGACAAGAAGGAGGAAAGGTGATCGTGCGGGGAAACTGTTCTGTTATTCTCAGTGCGGTAAACATGAAACCGGAGTTACTGGAGGCTAGTGATGGATTCGATGCAACCAGATCACTCCAAGCAAACAACGAAAGCAAGCAACCAAAAAAAAAAGCATCCAAGCGACAAAGAAAAACATAGGCACTCATGTTTAGATATGATTTTCGAACCTAGCAATCGTTTTCTATGTTCACTCTAAGTTTGAATTGCATCTTGTTTTGGTTGAGACTACCATTCATATAATTCATCTACAACCTTTACTAGAGACTACCATTCCTGTTTTGGTTTTTTGGCTGCTACTGCTTTCAAGTTTACTACAGAATGCGATAAAGTAAGAGATTTTGAGATTGTAGGGAAAAGATTCCTCGTAGATTGTCAGACAATACGTAAGAAGCTTACGGTAATTATAAATTGCAGATTTGAGGATGACAAACAGATTTCAGGCCTCTTTGAGGAGGTGTGGGAAGACATAACAAGTGGTGAAAGGGTCACACTGCAGTTGTTTCTTCAAGAAATTGTGAACCATATCTGCGAGAGCATTACTTCTTCCTCGTGGGCAAGCAAAAAGAAGGCACGTTACTATCTTTCTCGTGCCCGTATCTCTCTTCTTTGTACTAATTAATATTTATGCTGTCGTACTCATAGAAGATTTATACTTTCTTTCAGTCTGGGAAGGCAATTTGCAAACTAAGTGAAGTCTTAGGTGAATCATTATGGCCGCACCATAACAGATTGCTGCAGTGCCTTGTCACTGAAATTCCTGGACGTTTATGGGAGGTGAACCAAGTTCTTTCACTTAAATATATTTTTTTCCTTTTCCTTGGAAGTTCATAAACAAGTTAACCGAGATTATAGCTGCTCTTTTGGATCATAAACAAATATTGGCATTTTCTTGAACTAGTTTCTCAAATTAATACTTGTGATCGCAGGGAAAGGATGCTCTTCTGGATGCCCTAGGTGCTCTTTCAGTCTCTTGCCACGAGGCAATAACTAAAGAGGATCCAACAGCTCCCACTACCATCCTGAGTCTTATCTGTGCTGCATGCAAAAAGAAACTCAAGAAATATCGTGAGTCAGCCTTTTCTTGTCTAGACAAGGTAAGTCAAGACCTAAAAGTTGTGGCTTATTATGCAAAAACTAAGAGATGATGGTTCATGACCTTAATCTGCTGATAATCCAGTTCTCACACAGCATTATTCGGTTAGTGGATCTTTGAATATTTTGGATTTTATGTTATCAGGTCATAATAGCTTTTGGCGATCCAGAATTTTTCAATACTGTTTTCCCTATGCTATATGAGATGTGTAAGACTGCCTCTGTCAGAACGAGCTCTCAAGCTCTGTCAGCAAGTGATGCCGTCAAAACAGGTTGTTACACGATGAGTCCTATACTTTGATTGATAACACTTCTGCATCATTTGCTTGAGAGCTGTATTAGCATCATGAACTGTATTAGCATGGTTTCGTCATTATCTCGTTGCTTGAAGTCGAGAAGAGTGAAGAAGCTAAGACGTTATTGAGAAAATCCAGAGATGCGGTCGCAAATCTCCCCTCGTTAAACTAAGCAAGCACAGAGAAGAGATATAGTTTTATGCCTGCCATTATGTGATATGACTTCTTTGTTTACTTTATACAGTTTCTATTGAAAAACATGTTTTCGTCTGAAATGAGGACATGTATGATGTGTGACACAGAGATCATTTTCTTCTGTTCTTTTGAGTCTCCACAGGAAACATAGCTACTGCATCCGCTTTGTGTGGCTCCAAATTTTTAGCTGCCCACTTAAATTCCAGAACATACTTAAAGACGGAAGTGACATTAAAATTACTGATAACATTGTGAGAAAAATATTTGGTTTTGAACAAAATATTCCACATAATTGTGCTAATTCTTTCTATCATAACTTTTGAACTCTCTCACTTATGGACAGGAAAGACAAAGAAGAAAAAGTTTTGGTTTCCAAGAGTAATTTCTACATACAGTTGGTGGTGTACAACCATTTGTAGATGAGTGCAACTTTAGAAACCGACAAGTTTCACAAGTACTTTAGCGGTTCGCCTCTTATTAAAGTCCCCGGCAGGCTTCATCCAGTGGAGATATTGTATACTCTAGAACCTGAGATGGACTATCTTGAGGCTGCTATAAACACTGTCATCCAGATTCATAAATGTGAGCCACCTGGCGATGTTCTTGTTTTCTTGACTGGGGAGGAAGAGATTGAAGAAGCTTGCAGAAGTATCACATGTAAACTTGGAGACCAAGTCACAGCCATGCCATCGTATGCCACTCTTCCGTCTGCCTTGCAACACAAGATATTCGATCCTACAACAGACCCAACGGTGAGAAAGATTGTTGTCTCCACCAACATTGCAGAGACTTCTAACCATCGACGGGATTGTTTACGTGGTTGATCCTGGTTTCTCCAAGCAGAAAATCTACGACCCAATCACTCGTGTTGAGTCCTTGTTGGTGTCTCCAATATCACAGGCAAGTGCTAACCAAAGAGCAGGTCGTGCCGGTAGAACAAGGCCCGGAAAATGCTTCAGGCTTTACACTGAGAAGAGTTTCAATGAGCTTAAGACGCAAACGTATCCTGAGATATTGAGATCAAACCTCGCAAACACTGTTCTTACGTTGAAAAAGCTGCGTGTGGATGACTTGATACGCTTTGATTTTATGGATCCTCCTGCTCCTGACACACTTGCTCGAGCCTTAGGAGATGATGAAGCTAATCCGACAAAGACAGGCGAGAAGATGAGTGAGTTTCCCTTGGATCCGCAGATGACAAAGATGCTCATAGTCAGTCCTGAATATAACTGCTCCAACGAGATTCTTTCGATTTGCGCGATGCTATGGAAGAATTTACGAAACAAACTCTAAGTATATGAAAGAACCCTTTTTTTGCAATTCCTATGATGTAATTGGAGCTTATCGGCAATCAGTTCCCAATTGTTTCATCAGACCAAGAGGAGAAGCTTCGAAAGCAGCAGATGAGGCTAAATCAAGGTTTGCACACAGTGATGGAGACCACCTCACACTCTTGAATGTGTACCAATGCTTTCTTGCGAAACAAGCAAGACCCGAACTGGTGCTACGAAAACTTCATAAACTACAGAGCAATGAAGTCTGCGGTTAGTGTTAGAGAGCAGCTGGTCCGGATCATGTCTAGGTTTCAGATGAAGTTGTGCAGCAATAGTTTCACTAGTCCCAACTACTACGTCAACATGAGAAAAGCCTTGCTTGCGGGTTATTTCTGGCAAGTGGCCCACCTAGAAACCGCTAGTGGCCACTGCTTAACTCTCAAAGATAAGTTAGAGAACAATCAAGTGGTGCACTTGCATCCTTCCAATTGCTTGGATCACAAGCCCGAGTGGGTTGTTTACAACGAATACGTTTTCACTACCCGGAATTTCATACGAACTGTTTACACATATTGAGGGTGAATGGCTACTTGATGTAGCACCACATTACAATAATCTTGCAAACTTAAACAACTGTGACTGTGACGCGAAACGAGTGCTTCAAAAGCCTCATAAGAAGAGAAAGCGTGAGAAGAAAGTTGCATAGATTATATAATCTTTTTTTTGTATGCAAGTCTATAAGATCGATTGTTATGTATCTAACTACATTAATTGTAAAGTTACAACATTGTTCTCAGAATCTCTGACATTAGGGCAAAAGTTGGTAGCTTGATTATGATGTTTTGTTCTAGAAGAAGAAGTGAACCTTTATTTCGACGCAAGTATAGTAGTGGATCAGGTCTACTGCGTTTTTTAGCGTTATGTTTGCTTTTCAGTTATATTCCGAAACTACTGGAAAGCATAAATATTCGAATCAACAATCGTTAGAAGCTATGCATTTTTAGTCAACAAGATTTCCATTTACCAGTTGCTGATCATCGTATTATTATCATTTGAATGACCTTGCAGAAACTAAATGATTCTAGTAATAAAACTTACATGCTGTATATTCATTCATACATAGCTTTGCTCTATTAACTAAATCATTTTTTTTTTCTGTTTTTGACATATAAAGCATACATACATACATATCTTTGTTCTATTAACTAAATCTCTTTTTTGTTTGTTTTTGACATATAAAGCCTCATGTGGCTATTACCTTCACGACTTATTTAACACCATGATGGATCGATGGTCAATAGAGACCTGACTAAAAGTGTCAAACTCAGGCAATTTAGTAATGAGGAAGATTCAAGAGGCAAAATATCGAAAATAAAAACGAACGATACATACTTAGGACTGGACAAGGAAGACCCATAAAAAGAAGATTCAGATGTAACACATCACACAATCTTAGGGTAGAAGCAGAGCGCAAGAGTTGTTTTTAACGTAATACATACTACGTAATTCCTTGTAAATGGGATCCTGCAACAGCATAAAAAGACAAAAAAAAAAGTTAGATTCAACATTTTGACAGAAACTAATCCATATGTTTACTAATTGGCATTTTGATTCTTCAACTTACATTGACCGACATGACGGTGTGAGTAGTTTTACCGCCATCATGGATCACGAGTGGTACAGTTAACTTTGGACAGTAGGGTTTATAAGGACGGTCACGCAGCTCGAGCAGCTCGAGCAGCTCGTCCGTCTTGTCCGGCTCGTCCGGCTTGTCCGTCTTGTCCGGCTTGTCCGTCTTGTCCGGCTTGTCCGTCTTGTCGGGCTTGTCGGGCTTGTCCGTCTTGTCGGGCTTGTCTTGGCTGCATAAACAAATACAGAGGCTCATCAACACCAATGTCTACAGTATATAAATTCTAACAGATAAAGAAGCAGATTTTTTTGTAACTTGATTTCTAGCCTTACATTTGCTTAATCTTACTGGCAATTACTTTAGCGTCAGACTTGTCCTTGTACTTCCTGTGTGCCAATCTCTGCCTAATCCCAATCCGTGTAACCTTGAAAGCAGGCCCCATACCACTAGTCTCACTTTAACACAAAATCACCAGAAACACCAATATTAGGTCAAAACAAAGACGACGATAAACCAAAGTAGAAGCAATTCATATTATAAGAAGATAAAACTATAATATAAACCTTATAGCTTTCATAAATGAAACTCAAATATCAACACAGGAGTTGTTTTACACTCTAATAGATCTCCATATTAGCTATTATCCCTTTGCTCAAATCAACAAAACTAGCACTTGGCACAATTAAGTATTCTCTATTGCGGTTGCGGCCAAAAAACAAAACATCTTCAGAAACAAACACGCATAATCTCTCTATAGCTCAATGATAATCACAAAAAAAAATAAGAAAAGAAAAAATCGGATCACGAAACAATTTCCAACAAAAATCAAAAGCACGCTCGATCAGGAAGCGTACCGAGGCTTATTGCCAAGCGGCATCGAACTGTCTTGTTCGTTCCTTCTGCTCACTCTTATGGTTTTAGGTTTTTCTTAAAGGGGCTCAGTTTTATGGGTTTGAAATTTTAAGGCTGGTCCACTAAAATGGACATTCTGCTATATTTTTATAAATTAATCCAATTAAAGTTTTTTAAAACAATGGAAAAATATTTCAAGAAAGAATTCCTCGCACACTGGTTGCATTCAAGAAAGTAAGATTTTCATTAGTAGTGGCCAAAACCATTACCATGTAGGAGTTTCGTGTGTTTTTACTAGATCACAAGTATTCAATTGTAGCTGTTATATTTAGTAGAATTTTCAATTTTATTTCTGATCGAGGTTGGTGTTGCCAGCTTCATCTCAATCTCATTAGTCATTATTAATAACTCAAAAGTTGGTACCGAGATAAAGCCGTTCATTGGAATGTTGCTAAGACTTGTGTTTCCTGTTGCCAAGGAGGAGACCAAAGGAATAATTGAAGAGAGTTATCTCCAGTGCTCCTTCTAAAATAAATTCCTATAGGCTTGGCAGGCAAGCTATCTCTTACTCCATTATTTCTTACTTCTGTTTCGAAATCAATAATCTAACATAGCTTGCCTCTGTCACAAGGAGCTCTCAAATTCAGTCAGCAAGTGTGATGCTGTCAAAACAGGTTGTTACACGATACTTGGATTGATAACACTTTTGCATCACTTGCTTGGTCACATTGGATAATATGTTAACACTTATGCTTTTGCCTTTTACCTCATCTAGCTGGGTGATAGTATAACCATAAACTGAAAGTTGATAGAGGAAATGAAACATCCCTGTTTTTTTCTTGGGCAGTAAAAATGTCTGGGAAAGATTTGTTCAAGGTTTCAGAGTCTATATATGGATGGCATTTTGCCTAGAGATGCGACGAGATTCCCTCATGAGGTGTGATTAATCACATCTACATTTTTCACCCCAACCCATGCTTGTATAGTTTTGACTGCGTTTTTTAGCGTTATGTTTGCTTTTCAGTTATATTCCGAAACTACTGGAAAGCATAAATATTTGAATCAACAATCGTTAGAAGCTATGCATTTTTAGTCAACAAGATTTCCATTTACAAGCTGTTGATCATCGTATTATCATTTGAATGACCTTGAAGAAACTAAATGATTCTAGTAATAAAACTTACATGCTGTATAAAGCATACATACATACATAGCTTTGTTCTATTAACTAAATCCCTTTTTTTTGTTTTTGACAAATAAAGCATACATACATACATAGCTTTGTTCTATTAACTAAATCCTTTTTTTTTTGGACATATAAAGCCTCAGGTTCATGTGGCTATTACCTTCACGACTTATTTAAGACCATGATGGATCGATGGTCAATAGAGACCTGACTAAAAGTGTCAAACTCAGGCAATTTAGTAATGAGGAAGATTCAAGAGGCAAAATATCGAAAATAAAAACGAACGATACATACTTAGGACGGGACAAGAAGACTCATAAAAATAAGATTCAGATGTAACACATCACACAATCTTAGAGTAGAAACAGAGCACAAGAGTTGTTTTTAACTTAACACATACTACGTAATTCCTTGTAAATGGGATCCTGCAACAGCATAAAAAGACAAAAAAAAAAGTTAGATTCAACCTTTACAGAAACTAATCCATATGTTTACTAATTGGAATTTTGATTCTTCAACTTACATGGACCGACATGTAGCTGAGAGTTTCAACCCTCCAAGTGTAACAAATTTTTGTGATGGTGGCCTTCTCCTTCTGTGCCATTCATTGACAATCATGACACTGGCTCTGCTCAGGTTTTTGGTGTTTATCACCATTTTAAACTCTACCCAAAGCTTTTGTTTAAAACCGTCTTGAAACGAAAACTTTTCTCTTAAGGCATCAAGTACTTTGTATATGTGTGAGTAGTATTAAATAAAAATGTTCCTAGGAGAAAAATGTTATCTATATGATGATATTTCATCGAAGAAAATGTGTTGTAGTATATGGGACTAGACCAAGGTTTAAGATTTGGCCCAAATTTTTTTCAATACTGAGAACAAATTCACCAAGGTTTAACCTACCTTGCCTCTGTCAGAACGAGCTCTCTGAAGCTCTGTCAGCAAGTGATGCCGTCAAAACAGGTTGTTACACGATAAGTCATACACTTGGATTGATAACACTTTTCCATCACTTGCTTGGTCACATTGGATAATATGTGCTTTTGTGTTTCGGTGATAAACTAATAATATATAAGTTATAACCATAAACTTACAAGCTCTATATAGCTGTGTTCTATACTTCTATTTACTAAATCCTTTTTGTTTTTGGTTTTTGACATATAAAGCCTCGGGTTCGTGTGGCTACTACGCAATGCCTGCTCCCGCAAGGAGAAATATTCAAAAGGCAAAAATATCGAAAAGAAAAGCCAATGACACATAATTAGGACGGGACAAGGAAGACACATAAAAAGAAGATTTAGATGTAACACATTACACAATCTTAGAGTAGAACCAGAGCACAAGAGTTGTTTTTAACTTAAGCATAACTATATAATGCCTTGTAACTGGGATCCTGCAACAGCATAAAAAAAAAAGGTTAAATTCAACCTTTTGACAGAAACTAATCCATATGTTTACTACTTGGCATTTTGATTCTTCAACTTACATGGACCCACATGTAGCTGAGAGTTTCCTCGCCATTCAGGCCAATATTTATTACAGCTACCTTTTCACGTTTGGGGAAATAACCAAAATGAGTCTTCGGGGGATATGGTGTGTAAACCTTGTCCGGCTTCTCTTGGCTGGATAAACAAATACAGATCAACACTAATGTCTACAGTATATAAATTCTAACAGATAGAGAAGCAGATTTTTTTGTAATTTGTGTTATAGCCTTACATTTTCTTAATCTGACGGGCAATTACTTTTGCGCCACACTTCTTGTACTTCTTGTGTGCCATTCGCTGCTTAATCCCAATCCGTACAACCTTGAAAGCAGGCCCCATACCACTAGTCTCACTGTAACACAAAATCACCAGAAACACCAATATTAGGTCAAAACAAAGATGACGAAAATCAAAAGCACGCTCGATCAGGAAGCGTACCGAGGCTTATTGCCAAGCGGCATCGAACTGTCTTGTTCGTTCCTTCTGCTCACTCTTATGGTTTTAGGTTTTTCTTAGGCTGGTCCACTAAAATAAATAAATCCAATTAAAGGTTTTAAAAAGAATGGAAAATTTCCAAAAAAAAATATCTCAACTAAAATTTTGAAAAACTTTTTAATATTCCAACATTATTTTGCCTATAATAACATTTTTTTTTTTAATATTCCAACTCTGAGAACATAAAATGAACACCAAGGAGAAAATGCTGAGAATTGCTTCCGATACATCATACATACGATTATGAAGCCAAGTTGGAATCTATTGATTTGAGCTGTAAGAGATTTGGTGATGGTTACCACTTAATTACCACTGCTCCAATACTATCCGAAGCTATGGTGACACATTCAAAACATGAAAGATCCCTTAAGTTTTGCTATGGGGATTATCTTCGTTCAAGGATTGAAATAGTAATAGACTTCTCAAGTGTGGAATCTAATTCCAACTTTTTTAACAAAAAAAAAAAAAAAATTGCTTTTTTTTCCCGCATTGGCAAACAGCAACCTCCCTTTTAATTGCCGCAAATTAGCGAAAATTGAATAAAATGAGAGACAGTTTCATCAAAAATCTAAACGCTCTCGAGGCGCGTCATTGAGTAAGAGCTCTGGTCTAGGGTTTTTCTTAGGGGTTTTTCTGTTTCTTTCTCATCGATTCCAACCTCCGGAAAATTTCCGACCTGCTCTTCCACCGTCCCTTCTGCTCGAAGACCTAGTTTCTCGTCTTCTACCAATAATGGCGTCGCCGAAGGAGTTAGTGGCGTTAGTACAGTCTTCGCTACTCGGAACATCCCGGCCAACTCCAACGCAGCGAATCGAGCTCACTCATGCCATCCGCAGCTCCTTCTCCTCTTTTCAGAACCTCCTCTCTTTCCCGGTACTCGATTGGGTCCTTCCCGTCGCTTTGAATTTCTGTTTTTCTGGGTTCCATTTCTGAGCTTTGAATTTCTCTGATTTTTTGTATCTATTTCAGCCTCCAAAGCCGTCCGATAGAGCTCAAGTTCAGTCCCGTGAGATTCGTCTTCCCGATTCGTTGCCAGTATCTTTGGATGACCAAGATGTCGCTATTGTAAGTGTTTCTCTGAACTTTAGGAGACGTTTGGTGATTCTCAGTTTTTAGATTCTACTCCTTCTTGACGACGGTTGTTTCGAATTAGATATGAACAATAGACAATAGATTTCTACTCCTTAAGAAATTTTTTTTTTTTGTTTTTCTACTCTCTGTTCACTAATATCTAATGCACCATGTTTTTCTTTTGTTTTTTACTGATTGTAGAGCTTGAAATTGAGTGATGAGCTTCACCTAAACGAGATAGATTCTGTTCGTCTGCTTGTATCTGCAAATCAGGAGGTGCAGCTCCCTTCACTTTGGTTTTACTCTCACCTATTAGCTTCTGAAGTTCTGGAGTTAACTTTCTTATATCATATTCTATGCTTAGTGGGGCTTGATGGGACGAGATCCACTTGAGATTCAACGGCTTGCAACTGGACTATGGTACACAGGGAGAAGGGATCTTACATCAACGCTCTACACACTACTGAGGGTAGCTTACTCTTATTATATTTCTGGCTTTTCTTTCTTCTTCTTGTATTGTTCTTTACATCATCACACATTACCATTTTTTCTTGGTTGAACAGGCAGTTGTTCTGGACCAGGGGCTTGAACCTGACCTTATAGCTGACGTTCAGGGACTCTTAGAAGATCTGATAGGAGCTGGGCTCAGACAACGGCTGATCAATCTTATAAAGGTATTGACCACTTAGGTTCTTTTGGGATACTTCCTCATAGGTTTCCAACTCTGCAATCAGTTTATTACTGGATGAATTTTTTCTAAAGCACCCATGTTCTCTTGTTTGTTGAAAATCCATGAATATTTCTGTTCAGCTACACCATTTCAATCAAGTTTCCATTTGTTTCTCATGGTCTTAGAGTTCATCTTTCTAAACTCTGTCAGTCTAATGATTGTCTCCTCAATCCATTATATTTATAGTTGAATCTGTAAGATTTTGAGAAAATAATTTTAGAAGTTTTTTTGTTTTTTTGTGTGTTTCTTTGGGATTATCATGTTAAGATTGTCATGATGGCAAATTCTTTGTTGTTAGGAACTCAATCGGGAGGAACCTTCTGGCTTGGGTGGGCCCTTATGTGAGCGATACCTTATTGACTCAAGAGGTGCTCTTGTTGAACGAAGAGCAGTTGTTCAAAGGGAAAGACTGATCCTGGGACATTGCCTTGTCCTTTCAATTTTGGTTGAGAGACCTGGTAAGCTTGTTCATTTTTTTGTAGAGCTTTTGTGCGAAGAATGCCACTTTTTAAATAAATTCAGTTGCTGAATATGGTGCTTTTCACTAGCTCTATTGTATACGATAGGATTTATAACTACTGATAAATGGTTTATACATTTGCTAGGATGCTTCATATTGCAGTTTAATTAGGTCGTTTCTCAAAGCTCAATGTATTATGAAATATATTTTGTTTTCATTTATATAATTGTTATGTATGTGTTTGATTGAATTTGAATGTTCTTGCATGTTTGATTGAAGTTGAGTATCGTATGTAATTATAGTGTTTGATATACATTCTCCATCGTTCTGATCTCACTTATATAGAATTGGAACATTGACTCTGTTTTTATGGATCGTAGATGGTTTATTCATAGGATTCAAAAACTCTGTAATTTTATATCATTTGTTTTTTCTCTGAGGACATTTGCTGGTTCATTTTCATGCTTCTAATGGATTTTTTCCTTTGCAGGTCCGAAAGATGTGAAGGATATATACAATGTTTTAAAAGATAATGCAGCTCAATTACCTCAAGGAAATGACACCATGAGCTATCAGGTTCATGCTATTTCTGTTCATGACGTAGAAGCGTTTAGAGATTGCTCCGTTTCCTGCTTACGAAATTTATAATGTTGTTTCTTTATTGCAGATTACTTTTAGTCTTCTGTTTTCTCTCATCATCACGTTCATATCAGATGCAATCAGCGCACTATCTGACAAGTCTTCTATGATATCTCAAGATGCCACGTTTAGGACTGAGTTTCAGGATATTGTAAGTCAAGTTGATACATTTTTCTGTGCTTCTTCTCGCTGTCACCAAACCCCTTCCGCTACTGACACTTACACACATTCCTGGCATGCTTACGTCCTTAATTACCTTTCAGGTCATGGCTTCTGGCAGTGATCTCACTACTGATGGCTTCATTGGTGGCATAAGGCTTGCCTGGGCTGTGCATTTAATGTTGATATATGATGGTATCTCTGGAATGGATCCAGTTTCCACTGCTTCAACAACGGATATGGGGCACATATGCTCCTGCCTCGAGTCCATCTTTTCAAAAAACGTGTTTCAATTTTTGCTGGATAATGTTCTTCGAACTGCTGCCTACCAGGTACTTTCATTTTTAATATCATTGCCAGGAAATCTGTGTGCTCAGTTAATGTCTATGGAATGCTGGGCCCCTATCTGGCTTCCCTGCGTACTTGATATCAGTTGACGAGCTAGTGTGAAACTTACTTTGAATTCTTACAAGTGTATGAACATGTTTGAATTCCTAAGATTATCTTGAAGATGAGTTCTGATATTGTTCTCTACCTTAGTACTTTAGCTGGTGGGTTTTTGTATTGAATGAGCATCTATGCATCGATCATGACTGGATAAGAAAAAGCTATTTCCTAATGTTAATGGTGTATGTATGGATGCTGTCTTTATATGCATCTAGGCTGCTTGATTAGTCACTCTCAAATGTGTGAAGTTCCATTTCTGTTTGCTGGTTTTTCTGCTTCAAGCCACATCGTATATGTATCAATGAATTTTAAGTATCTTTCTAGTTTTTTCTTTTTCTTGTGTGGGTCTATCAATGGTTGACATTTTGTTAGTTGCTACGTGCAGAATGATGAGGAGGACATGATCTACATATATAACGCGTATCTACACAAGTTAACTTCTTGCTTTTTATCTCACCCGATCGCAAGAGACAAGGTTTTCTTTAAGTCCTTTTTACTTCTTGAAGTTAAAGTATATTTATTTAGCATCTGTTTATTGAGATTCTGTTGGCGACCAGAGTTAAAATGTTGCAACTTAGAAATTTGAAAGCTTGGTAGTTTTGTCCTAAAATCATGGTCTTATAATTATGACGAAAGTTGGTGGTGTATGCTTTACATTCAGAGTGAGTAACTATATGATGCATCAATCACACATTCTGAAAATCTCGGATTGGTCAACTTTGTGGATAGGAGTGGCACTGAAACTTCAATTTTTAATGGACGCACAGCATGGTTACTTTCTGATATTTCGAGAGTGCATCTACATGTTAATCTCCTGCGTCAATCCCACTCATCCTTATTTTGCAGGTGAAGGAATCAAAAGACATGGCTATGAGTGTTCTAAATTCGTACCGAACTTGTGATTCACTTGACGGCAGTATGCAGACTGAAGAGGCTGACAGGCCACTGCCATTTATTTCCCTAATGGAGTTTGTTAGCAAAATCTATCAGGTTAAGAATCACTACCTAATCAAGCTTTCAATTCTTTGT